CCAATGCTTGTGAGTGTTACCGAGGGAAATCACAGCCAAAATCCTTCACGGGTTCAGTTCTGTCACCCCCTCCGCACACTGCCCCTCATCATCGCTTAAGGAGGGCTATTCACACACGGAAAAAGTGTTCACCCAGTAAAAGTGTTGAAAAAGGGGGTCAGCTGGTAGAAAATGCATTAATTTATAACAGTAATAGCAGCAGTGATCCCATTAGCCTCATTTTACACATATGGAAATGGAGGCATGGAAAAGCACAAGGTGCTGGGGCTGGGACGTGGGTGCTGCTCTTTCCAGGTCCCTCTTCTAACGACTACACCAAATTGTGTCTGAGCCCCTTTTTACATCCCATTAATGTGTCTGAGGGCCGCCGTGCTGACTGTACCCTGTGCGGTGCCGTTCCTCTCACACAGTCCAAGCCTGGGGCAAGGAGAGGGCAAGGACAAAACCACAGTGACAATATGCCACACCGCTGGGGATGGCAGGACATGTTTGGTACTGAAAGATGCGAGTTATTTTAAGGTTGAAGGTGCTAAAAGCATCACTAAAAGAGCTGAGCATCCTCAGCGCCTCTTGCCCTCAGCAGGAGAAGAGATGCTCAACTTCTCTTAGAGGACACCAAGCACTCCACCTTGATAACAAGCTCAGACAAATCCATGCTCCTTGGCTGGAGATGTGTTAGTTCCTGTTACTCAGCATGACCAATTAAATGAAATTTAATTAGCTTTCCAAACGTGTGCTCAGGACAAACCCAAAGCATGCGGCTGATGAGCCCAATCAAAAGGGATTCGTCTGCGTTGCTCTTCAGGCAAATGGCAAAGCTGGGCCATACCCAGAGCTGTTGATGGCAGCGCTGGCCTGAGATGGTGACAGCTCGAGGGGACGGAGCTGAGGCTCGTCCAAGGGATGGGTTCCTTAGGAAAAGCCAGGCTTGCACAGTTGGCAGCTGCAGGAGGAGGGGGATGCTGTGGGGTGATGCAGAGCAAACTGCCTGCAAACAGAACGTGGAGGGAAGGGGAGTGCAAGTGCAGCCTGGCAGGATGAACACGTCCTGGGAGAAGAGAGGAAACCAGCTGTCCTGGTTTGAGCTCAACAGAACTGATTTTCTATTCAGTGATTTCACTTTTCAGCTCAGTCTTTTCCAAGTGCCTGAACTTGCTGAAACCAGCACCATGGTTTTCCAGTATGTGCTGCTACAAGTGATCATCTCAAGGCCACTGTCTCACCATGGGGGCTGTGTCTGCACCTACAGGAGGAGCAGACCCAAACCTGCCCAACCAGGGATTGCATCCCACACACGCCACACTCAGTGCAAAGCCCAGGGATCACCAGGGGCTGGACCCTTCCAGCTTGGACCCTTCCTTCCCTCTCCACCCCTGCAATGGCCCAAGGCCCAGCAGACCCTGCTGCTTCGCCTGCCTCTGATCCTGAGCCCTGTGCTCCTGCATCACCTCCCACTGCTGCTGGGGCCGCACTGGGACTTTTCCAGTGCTCCCAGAGCCTCTGGTGCCGTCATGGTCATTGGGGGAGGATTTTATCTTGGTTTTGTAGATATATTTGTACATGTCTGTATATATTCCATTATTTCCCTATTTACATGATTATCCTGTAGTATCATTATTATTGTTCATTAAACCTGTTAGTTTTATTTTCCAACCCGTAAAGTCTCTCTCCCTTCTTCTCTTTTCTCTTCCCTTCTGGGGAGGGCAGAGGGGTTCACAGAGAGCGTCTGGGCAGGGTTTAGTGCCCAGCCCAGCCCTATACCACAAGAAACTTCAAGACCTCCCAGCAATCTGCTTTGAGCTTCCTTGCAGGCAGTGATGTTGTGCACACCATCTCCCCTGCAGCTTAAAAAATTGCGTTGCATTTTATTTCTATTCCTAAGCTTCATAAATGCTTGCAGGACATATGCTCCAAGTTAGGGGGAAAATGTTTTCTATATTACAGAAATGCTGCTTGCAATATTAAGGTCACACCGTCCTAACGTGATGAGCACAGACTGTGATGCCCTGTGCTGTTAACGTGGTCCTGGTGCAGCGATGAGCACAGACTGTGATGCACTGTGCTGTTAACGTGGTCCTGGTGCAGCGATGAGCACAGACTGTGATGCCCTGTGCTGTTAACGTGGTCCTGGTGCAGCAGTGAGCACAGACTGTGATGCCCTGTGCTGTTAACGTGGTCCTGGTGCAGCAGTGAGCACAGACTGTGATGCCCTGTGCTGTGAACGTGGTCCTGGTGCAGCGATGAGCACAGACTGTGATGCACTGTGCTGTTAACGTGGTCCTGGTGCAGCGATAAGCAGACTGTGATGCCCTCGCTGTGCTGTGCCATCCTCAGTCGACTGCAGGCGCTGTGCCCCAGGCCCTGCCGATTCAGCTGCTCGCTGGAGCCCGCATGGAGCCGACACAACAAAATCGACAGATCCTCTTGTGACCAACAGCCTGCTCACTCATCTGGTGTTCCACTGCCGTGCTGTCCTCATTGCTGCCTCCGGTCTGATCCGTACGTGTGCCGAAATACCCCCGTACTCTTGCTTTGGGGCGTGAAAGGTCAGCAGAGCAAACAGCTGCTGCCTTTTGGGGCAATCAGAACACAGCTTGTAAGGCAAATTTGGAATGGCTTGCAGATGCTGCGCATTAGGGAGCTAAACAGGTTTTAATCCTGATTTAGAACTTCGTGTGTTTACACGTTGGGTGTTTTGGGTTTTTTTAATAATTAATTTGCAGAAGCATCTTGTGTAAAAGGTTCCTTACCATACAGAAGCCTTTTCCCTTTCAATCTCCACACGTCCCCCAAAATTAAAAGAAGAATCGTGTCAGATCTATGTTCTACGGAGCACCCTCTGCTAAAAAGGAGAGTTATTCAGATCATTACCTTCAGCAGCGATCACAGCGAGTGGGATCTTAGAGGAACTAATGAGCTGCCACACTGGATTAAAACCTGAAGCTGTATCATGATTTTCTGTTCCAGTTCATGTAGAAATAATCTTATTTACTATGCAATTTTAAAAATACTTGGAGTTATTAATATGACAGTCAGAGATTCTCAACAGTTGTGTTTAAACTGCCAAGACAAACAAAGCTTTTCTGGTAGCTCCCTAAGTTTAGTGCTGTCAACTGAAAAGACGCAAGTACAGCAGATCAAAGGAAGGAAATTCCCCATCAATTCTTCCCTTTTAACAGCAAGTAAAATCTTATTTAGGCAATGAAAATCACTGATAACTGAGGTGTCTCTTGATTTGTTTGGGACCAGTTTCTGACAGTGTAAAGATCAACGTGGAAAAAATGCAACTTCCATTAAAGATGCTGCATCTCCTCAGCCAGCAATGCCGCTGCACTTCACAGCACGATGTGACACCACCACGAACAGTAAAAAGGATGCCGTGATATTCCTGAGCATGTTTAGGGTTGTTCCCCAAGCCAAGACCCCTTAACAGATCAGAGCAACACGGAAAGATTTTAAAGGCCCTGTTTCAGGATGTGCCATTTCTGGATGCCTTAACAGCCTACATTTCTTAAAGGTCTTTAAAAAGGTCAAGTTGGGAAATAATGAAAATGTATCCCTTTCAGTAAGAGCACAAAGATTCACAACAAAGCCTGTGTTGCTATGAGTAGTATTCTTGTAGTTAGGATGATCCAAATATTCATTTAGTGATTATGTGGTAGCATATGTAACTGTCAACGACTTGGTTGAGTCGGCTTAACATGAGCCAGCACTGTGCCCACGTGGCCAGAAGAGCCAATGGCATCTTGGCCTGTATTAAAAACAGTGTGACCAGCAGGTCCAGGGAGGTGATCATCCCCCTGTACTTGGCACTGGTGAGGCCGCACCTCGAGTGCTGTGTTCAGTTCTGGGCCCCTCACTATAGAAGGATGTTGAGATTCTGGAGGGTGTTCAGAGAAGAGCCACAAGGATGGTGAGGGCTCTGGAGAACAAGGCTGATGAGGAGCGGCTGAGGGAACTGGGCTTGTTTAGCCTGGAGAAGAGAAGGCTGAGGGGAGACCTCATCACCACCTACAACTGCCTCAAGGGAGCTTGTAGAGAGGTGGGTGCTGGGCTCTTCTCCCAGGTGATGGGGGATAGAACAAGGGGAAACGGCACCAAGCTGTGCCAAGGGAGGTTCAGGTTAGAGAGAAGGAGGAAGTTCTTGACTGAGAGGGTCGTCAGAGGCTGGAACAGGCTGCCCAGGGAGGTGGTGGAGTCACCATCCCTGGATGTGTTTAAAGAGCGGGTAGACGAGGTACTTAAGGATATGGTTTAGGGGGTAGACAGGAGCGGTTGGACGCGATGATCTCAGAGGGCTTTTCCAACCGAGCCATTCTGTGATTCTGTGATTCTTCTCAGTTATAGTACTTAACTCTGTGAGCTCCCAAACGTTCCCTTCCCTCAGTGAGATCCAGAACAAACTCTCCTGGGTAGAGAGGAACACACACATTTATGCCATTTTCCACTTTCAAAGTACATTACGATCGCCGACTCTTAATTCTCATGGCAAAAAGGATGTAATCTTAACTTACACAAACAAATGAGACAAACCATACAAACTGGAATTTATTTAACTCACACAGTACTACAAGGAATGTAAGAACTTCTGCTTTACATACGTATTTTAAATTGTTTTTAGGTATTTACTTAAAAAATGTAACATTCAGTAAGAAAGCACACTATCAAAAGCCAAGTTTGCAGACCAGATACGAAGTGCTCTTTACTCTGCGTCACTTGACAGATTGTAACACAGGAATATTTAAAAACACCTTTTTCTGCAGAAAAGCCAGAAAAAAAATGCTTTAAAATTTTCATTAATATTAAATGGAGACTTGCTCATTTCAGAGCCGTCACTCCTGCAATCTCTTGTGTACGCAGCTGCAACGTGTTCTAGCTCTATTTTAATGAGCGATATGGTTTTAAGATGACACAAACTAATTAGGACTCTCAAACCTTTCCTGCTACTCAGGTAACACAGGCTTTTCTGAGGAATGCATTAAGCGTAGTTGATCTGCTCTGAGCTGGTATTCTCCAGAAGATGTATGGGACATTCGCTCCAGCTGTTTTTGCATAATAAAAAATAAGCTCACTAGAGCGTAGCAAAGTGCTGTTTTAACTGTTTGAGGAGCTGCTGTGTGTCAACATGGCCTGGAAATGCTTCTTCTGACTTCTGAGCAGCTGTGTAACTCCTCTGAAGATCTCCAACCTGTAAGAAACACACAGACTATTCTGTAAATCCAAGCACGGCAGTATTTGCATCACCTATAGTGTGCGGTGCATGTCTGATGCTCACACATGGTTTGACATTGCTGGTCCTGAGAGGGAACAAATGAAGTGGAGTCAGTACAGAGGCTTCTGAACTCAGTCATGCCCCCCTTACGTCAAGGAACGAGAAGAAAAAGACAGAAATGTGATTTCAATAGGAAAGATGCTCCAGGATGGTAAATTTGTACCCATTCCACCTGACTTCTTGGGGAATGGACAAGAAGCTGCTTTTAGAAGTGCGTTTCCACACTGTTCCCTACTTAGGGAACTTGATTTTTCCCTAAGCAGCCATCATTTTTTGAAATGAGGAAGTGTATGCAAGGAGAGCATCTCAGAAAGTGGGTTCAGCAAACAAGAACCCAAAAGTTTGGGTTACCCCTAGTAACAGTGATGGCTCCTGGGTGAAAAGGAAGCAATGGGAAGTGTCAGCAGGAGGCTGTGCATGAGTCAACACAGAGCTTCAGTGCAGCAAGAGTTCCCTGAAGGGCAAGAAACCATGGTCCTGGCCAGAGGAGCTGTGATCTGTACCATGGGCTCACACCAAACCTAAGGACTGCATCACCAGACCGCATCCAGAGCTACCTGATCCAGCCATCTGTCTTCTCCCACAGCCTCCGCAGCTTCTCTGTGTGAGAGATGAGGATGTACTCCTTAATTGGCAAGTACAGGATGCAAGTTTTCAAAACTATCCCATGTTTCACAATGGAGAGGATATGCTTACAAATTAATGGGTTCTTCTCTCCTTGACGCATGTACTTCAGTATCTGTGGGAGTTGGGCTGCCCACACAACACAGACTCATAACAGAGTCTCAAGGGAGGAGGCACAAGCAAAGGAGAAATTTTTTTCCTGTGAAGAATGCAAGGACTCGTACCAGTTTCTCCTCATTAGCAGGATTGATGGGCACGCTGTTAATTCAGCATCTGAGACACTCGGTATGAAAGAAATCATTAACACACAAAAGTCAAAGGTTGTAAAGCTGAAGAGCAGGCTTTCCTTTTGAGATCAGTAAAATCATGGGATGAATAAATGATGCTCTTTCTGTAATTACTGATAAAACGTGATACTGGTTCACTTCACATCCTGAAAAAGCCAATGGCTGTGAAGACTGTTGATGGAATTGTTAATGGATAGTTCATCTTCTGGGCATTTGGAAAATTATGAAGTTACTTCATAGCTTGGTGGCTTCACTTATTCTCAAAAGCACTGCTCTGAATGACTACTTTCACACACCAAGCTTCCAGGTATTAAAATGGAAATGTAACTTCAGTTTTCCCTGCGTTTATGCCCTCTGTGTTCTTTTGTTTTACCTATTTGGAATTCTCAGTAATAACAGTAAAAACCCAACTGCCCCACCAAGGCTCAGCTTTTCGATTACAAGGACAGGATGGTGCATTACCTTCTCTGAGAGAACTGCAAAATTGAAATGGGGCTCATACATGTGAGGTGCCAAGGATGAAGCAGTCTGCAGCAAAGCTCTTGCCTATGGAGAAAAAGGAAAAAAAAAACCAGTTAAACCTGTGAGGGAGGGAGGGTAACAAGAATCTGATGCAGTTTTCATCATTCTTAAAAGAAATAATCCGATGTTTGCTTTACTAGGCCTTTACTAAGAAAGTCATCTTCAACTATGTATGTGTTACACCAATAGTACATTTAGGCATAATACAGTTAATAAAGTTAACTTTGAGAACTTGCTCTTAAAAACAGTATTTACAAGTCTTTCTATCGTACTGTAGCTCTGATGAATGCATGAATCCATCAGAATAGGCCTGCTCCCATGAGGATTAAAACAAGCCCACAGCAGTTCAAACTGATCTTCCCTGCATGCGTATAAAAAGTGAATGCATTTAATCCACTGCGCACGTCAATTATACATCTAAGTGCAATACAACTTAGCATAGTCATACTGGGTGAGATGAACTGTCAAACCTATTGATGCAAACGTATTTACCAAGAACCTGCTGTTCTGGAACAACACGCTTTGTTGAACAAACTCCTTTAAGAGCTGATCCAATTGCTGTCTTCTGCCACCAAACAAAAGCATATGATCTACGTTTATAAACTGAATATGTAGTCAAAGCTGTAATTTAAGTGACGATTCCAGAGTGGTGTGCTTTGTGAAAAAGGGCCAAAGGAAGCGTCCTGCTCAGGCTGAGATCCAACACCAACCTGCTCAACGTGACCTTTCCGCATCTCCAGCACAGCCAAGTTGTTGTAAGCTTCCGCGTGGTTGTTATTGCTGACCAACGTCAGCCTGAAACACTGGTAAGCCAGATTCAGGTCTCCTATCCCCTACAAGTAAGATGACATGTTAATTTGTGAAGAGATTGGAAACAACACACATCTGTTTTGTTGTCTGCAGGATCTTTTCACCCATATGCACTACCACGGAATACAAATTACGACAAAAACACACTGATGAGAACCATATGTGCCTTCTGCCCAGACCCTCTTGTTTGGTTCTTCCTCCTCCTCCAGACAGAATCATTTCTCTCCAGCACAAACTTCCATGCTCCAAGCGATATCCACTTCCTCTAATTTAACTTTGAGATGACTAAAGCGTCATCTAAAGACCATGCTATCCGTTACTATCTATAGCAGGGTAAGAAAAGCAGAGGTGTCTCCAGAGGGGAAGTCATCTTGCCTCTCTGTCTACACAGATTTAAAAAACAAATCACACATAATCCAAGTTTTTAGAAGACAAAAATCAAGGGAGATTAATTCCTTTGTGTGGAGCAGCTATTTAATGCTCTAGTGTTACGACCAACGCTGATACAGCATCAGGTCAAACAGTAAAAGTGACAAATGCTAAAAAATATAAGATATATAAAAAATATATATAAAAATATAAACATTTTAATGTTTCAATTAATTAATTGAATTAGTTTATTATAGCTGCAGTACAATCAAGATGAACAACTGAGTTTCTCTCTGATTTAAGTTCAATTATAGTCAGCATTTGAAGACAACTCATATTAGAAAGCTGTCAAGAACTACTTGGTAGCCTGATTCTGGGCATGCAGCTAAACAGAAATCTGATACAACTTCTGGAAGAACATCTGCAAAAATGGGCAACGAACGCAAATTAGTGTAGAAACTTAAAAAACTCGCATATATTGCAGTATTTCTCTAGCTGTCCATAAGAGAGAGGATCATGCCTTCTCAGCCATGCCAGACAGGGGGCTTTAGTGCCTGTTACATGCTGCTGAATGCATGTTTTCATGACAACAGAATTGGCCTAATGCTTCACGTAACACAATAACAGAGAAAAATATCATTAATTCAGAGGGTTTTATGCCAGAGTCTCTTGTATTGCAGCAAAGGCCTTCAAGGGCTGGTACGTACTGCAGCTTTTAGTAGCAAGAAGGGATGGTTAAAGACAGTGGGGAGGCAGCACCTTTTGGCAGATGGAAGCCACATTCTGTGAAGACACACAGAACTTTTTCTTCTGCCTCTTTCTCTCTCCTGAAGGGCAAATAAAGATTTACTCTGCACTGCGCTTAACCCTGTACACTGTCGTGTTTCGTATTTCAAAGAAGGGCAATGCTTCCTTCCAGGTTACCATTTGCCCAGTTTTTGTAACATTACATTTATTCAGAAAGGCTGTTAATGTCATTCATACCACAGCCACGTGTCCCAGGTTGTACCACACATCTGCCGTCTCCTCCTCATTCTCAGCCAAAAACAGCGCGCGTTCAAACGAGGACAGCGTCATGTCGTATTGCTGGGCGTAGAAGCAACAGAGGCCCAGGTTGTTGAAAAGCTGGCAGTTATAAACACCCATCTGCAGGAGCCGTCTAGGTCGACAGAAGACATTTGGTTAATTGATTTTTTTAGATTAATTTCAAATTGGAGTTCTATTCTAAATTACCAAGTTCTCTCCTTCTTTCTCCCTATTCCGAGAGGGTGAAATAACCAAGTGTTATAGTCTTACACGTGGTAAAAGTGGCATTTTTGACCAGTAGAACCAAAGCTGTGCAAAACCATCATGTAAATTAGAGAACTCCGACTGATGGCACACAACCTGACTTTACCATAAGACAGAGCTGTTCGTAGACTTTCTCCATTTCCTCTTTCCAATTCCAAGCTGTGATTTGTTGCAGTTACTTCTTACAACTCTCCAGAGCTCAATTTTTTGCTTGATTTCTGTCCTTCAGCACTAATCAGTACATCTAGTATGTGAATCTACACTAATCCTACTTTTGAAGCACAACTCGGATTTTGATTCAAATTGATGTTACCTAATGTGTCTTTTAGAACGGAGTTGCTTTATAAAAATTCTGTTTATTAATAATTATAGGGAAAACAGATATGCCAAGAGGACCAGAGAAAAAGAGGGCTGCTGTCTGCAGCACAATAGTTGAGTTTCTGAATCTAAAGTAGAAAAGAGTCCAGGCCCAGCAGAAACGAGATGGCAGTGCTCATATAGTGCTTATACTGACTTCATCTGCTCGTAGGCTTAAGAACACGAGTCAGGCTCCTTTGCACTCCATCTCCACTGCAGTAAAAAGAAAGCAGCACCGTTTAACACTGTATTTTCATTGCTAACACTATATATTTATATTTATTTATTTATATATTTATATATTGATGTATTTCATCTACTGACAGTAAAACATGGGGGAAGCCCAGCCCCCATTCAAGGAAGGGTTTTGTGGTCACAACTGCTCTGGACTTCAGGAGGAGTGTTTCAAAGACTGCTCTCTTTGAAAGGGCTAAATAGGAAGTCCCTGTGCCTTACGAATGTGAGTCGAGAGTAAAGTCCAGTGCTCTCAACCTGCCTCATGCTGTGAGAGATCATTTCTTGTTTATCAATCAAGTAACAACTGTTTAGATAATCTCTGTTGATACCTCTAGGTACCCCACAGGTAGTGATGACACGTTTCTGAGAGAGAGATGTAATTATCTCTGGCTGAGAAGATCCGTAAGTTTTTATGGTGATATTTGTCCAAACGCTCAATCACCCTCCCATCCCAAACTCCTAATGTTCTTGTTTTGTGATCGGCATCACAAAAATCAACTCTTTACATTACCCTCCCACACATGCAGCTCCCCCTTCCTCCCCACAAGTGCAGGTACCTATAAAAGCGCAAAGCTATCTCGGGCTGGTCTGAGTAAAAGTGGTTACTGCCGATGCATGCAATGGCTTCCACGTGAGTGTTGTCTTGTTTTAGGACGTCTTTGTAGTGCTCTGCAGCCGTGGAGATGTTGTTCATTTCCTATACGAGTGGAAAAGAATTCAGATCAATGCTACTTTTTATCACAAAACAAATTAAAATGTCAGCCTACTGAGTGCTTTGTCTATGCCCTGTACAGCACTTTACTGAGATTCATTATCTATGCTCTTACAGTGCTCTGATGGTGCAATGCAACACCACTGATGGGCATCTTCATAAGCGACACACACATCCACAAGGAGAATGTGTATTAATTTATCAGTGCTAGCTGTACCTGCCGTTAACGCCACGCCACAGCTACCAAATTTATTTGTTTTTTATTTTTCCGAAAAAGAAACTGGTGTTTGCTTTCTGCACGACACCTTGTGACACACAGCACTGGGCAGCTTTTACTTAACCTCAGCAGCGTATTTAGCTATGGAAAAATGTATTTCTCATTATTAAAGGAAACGGTACTAAAGCAGTCCCTTTAAAAATAATGTGGTTTATTTTAATTATAAACCAGAAAAGTTCTACAACTCTTCCTACTGTCAAAAGACAGTGACAAAAAAGCAAAGCTCTGATTAAGGTGCCTGATATTCCACTTGTGAGTCTATGCAATGAGAGCAGGGCTGTGCTGCAGTACAAATCTCTGCTAATGAAGATTATTTGCTATAATCCCGCACTCAGGTGTCAGTGCCACACTAGATCCTGTCAGCTGTATGCTGCTCTTTAATAACTCCTTAAAGGGTTATGCAATGTTATCTATGGCTCTGCAAAGTGATATCCATATTAAAAACTCTTTAACAATTCAGAAAGAAAAGCCTCCGAAAATTATGCAGCTGTTTTCTTCCTTGCTGAAGGACAAACAGGATTTAATATGAAAATGGATTAATGCTTAGGGGTTAGATGAGAATGATGAGAGCAGGAAAGAATGCCAAGTATGAATGTAGACCAGAAAAAATACACTCATGTCTTTGTTTAAAACAGTTGTGCTGGAATAGCATCATTACCAACTTTCAGTTAAGCGATGTTAAGTCCACTGTTTGACATGAAAATGCACACTTTTAAAATACAAAATACTGAGTTACCAAGCCAAAATGAAAATACTTTAAAAATTAACCTTCTTAAAGTAACATCTACTGTCTAAACCAAGAGACGTTCACATCCCAACTGTTCCCACTGGCTTAAGAAACCAACAGTAACACACAGTGCTAGTAAAGACACACTGATGAGCAGGCTATTTGGCTGTTCAATGCTGCTGGCAGGCTGCTGGTGACCTGAGCAGTTCCAGCACGATGAACCAGATATAAACCAGACCCAGCTACAGGGACAACATCTGGACCACTCAACGTGGACCTGCTTCTGTGTGTCAAGGGTAAACAGCATCTCACCGGTGTGCTTAACCACTTAAACAAATAAGCCCGAAAGGCTCCCCTGATATCTTGGTATCTTTGTGTCGTATGACATGTTTTGCATTAATTATACTGAAAATCAGAGCAGTTAATTTCCAATGACCTTACAGTTCTATTCAACTCTTGGCTCTCTTTTCTTGCTCAGGCAGACAACCTTGGCCACGATAAGGATTGCACAGCAGGGGCTTACCTCGTAGATCCTGGCGATTCCACAGATAAGAGCCACTTCTCCAGGAAACCGATCCAGCCCTTGCTTGAAAAGGTTCAGAGCTGTTACAGGCTGATCCAAGCGCAAATACACCTAAGCCAATCAGAAGTGTACATAAACGTCTGACTCTGATACTGCTGTTTAATAGGGGAGATAAATAAAAGGGATAACGCCTCTATGCAGTAAACCATTAGCTGGGACGGTGAATACTGGGAGAATAACGAATACTAAATAAATCTCTGTAATGAAGATAAAATTGGCTAATTAGGATAATTAAATTTGCATGCGTATCATCTAGACGTTATTAATTTATCTGGACATTACTAATAAACCAAAAAAGTATCTTGTTATCTATTATCATATCAAGATAATACACTTTGACACTGAGGTGAAGGTATCATCTTGAATGTTTTCCTCTTTAATATATGTTTTAAAACTTATGTTTAGGCTTGAAAGAACCGGGTCTTCAGGTTGACAGTGCTGGAATACCAATTAAATTAAAATTACATCTTACATTTTAAATAACTGTCTCCACCGTGGCTGTCATGCTCCTTATTTTCTTCCAGCAACAGTTTTCTACAACTAAACCACTCTGTAAAGAGGTTCAGTGGAAAGCAGACAGATGAAAGAGAACACATGACAGCTGGATATGACTTCTTAATTGAGAAGAGCTTTGTCTGGTTGTTTTACTCCCAAGTATCACCTGTGTGAGTGACTTGTACAATTTATCCTAAATAAGAGCAGTAAGCCAGTGCACACTGCCATACCTGCAAATAATGTCATGTTTTCTTTGTTTGAACTGAGAGAAAATTTCAATTAGCTGGGGTTTTTTGCTCCATTTTCTTTTCAGTGTATCTCCTATCTCTGGTAAAAATATCCCATTTCCAGCTCTTCTGGGTCATGAAATGCTTTGTAACTTCTCAGCAGCCCTAACTTCTTTACAGACACTTTATTTTTTAGTTTCCTTTTGGTCTTTTATGCTCTCATAAACTACATTTCAAGGGAGTTAGATTTCGGAGAAAGCACTTCTTATAAAAGATAGCTGTTGTAATAATGAATGTAAACAGAAAGCTAATTGGTACCGCAGCACCAGTCTGTTTGCACAGAACTTGGCAGAACCCTGTTATTTTTTAATGGCTGCTTAACTCAGGTCTCATCCTTTCAGCACTGTCAGACTGAGCTGTATCTCAGTGCCCTACTCCACTGCCTGTCCACCCACAGTCACTAAATCACGCTGTGCAATGTGTTACACTTGAGCAAGCCGGTCCATGGAGTAGGAGGTGGAAGTTCAACTGCAGCTCCTGCTTGAGCTGCTAACAATGTGGGGGGACGTGCGTCTCCCATAGCAAACCCCTGCTTGTAATCCAAATACTCTGCCGATTTAATTACCCTGCGCAGCTCACGTGTTTTGCAGGATGACTGCTGGTAGTGACAGAAATCTAAAATTACTCAGCTGAGTAAACTAACTCCAACTGCTGTATCGAAGACAAGTCCAGATAGCAACCACCATCATTTAAATACAAAACATAAACTGCTCAAGGAATGTAAAGGTAAAGCAAGTACCATAATCTGAATATCTGAATTATCCACTTATAGTGATGACTTCTGGATAGGCCTGTGACAGCTGGCTTAAAGGCAGCTGATAAGGAGCAATTGATTTCACCTCTTTCTAGGACAAGAAATATGCAGCTTTAGCTTCGCACAGGCCACCTTCTCTTGAATGTCTTGGAAAGTGTTTAGAATCTGATGTGTACTCTGGTAAACAAGTAATTCTGAGGCTTAGCTGTACCACTGGTTCTTGTAAAGCTTTCAATGCCTTTATTTTGACAGAACATTCTCTGTTTCAAGGTCTCCAATTGCTTCCTTTCAGCTCACTTTGTTTTGCTTTTGCTTGTGAAACCAGGATTTGGAGCTGGATCAGCTTCACTTACTGATTTATTGCATTAGTTTCCTAGGAGACCATGTGCAGCCACACTGTTCTTCATACCGGAACTCCAGTAAATCTTTAGCTATGTAATCCTCACTGGAGTTCAGAGCAAAGAAGACAGTAATGTAGGAGATTTTTTTGGTGAAATCTGGAAGCTCCAAAATCTTTTTGTAAACTACAGACTTCCATTTCAACTGTTAGCATATCTTGCCTCAGTTCTATGTGGAGATCACACACTATTAAACTTGATGGTGTCTCAAGCTCAATACTCAACTAAATGGGTGCATGGACTTCTCAGTCCATAGTCTGACAGTCTGGAATTTCATTTCATTCTTAAATAAGCAAATCTATGACTTACTTTTGCCAAATACAAGATGGTATCAACCATGTCCTGTTGCTTGAGAGCTGACTTAAATTGCTTTTCGGCTTCACGATATAATCCTAACCTAAAGAGATGACAGATAGATATAGAAGATATTTGTTTCTTTGTTTTTAAAAAGCCTATTAAATAATGAAGCAGCGCACACTAAACCAAACATGAACTGCCCAAAAGCATACTTTAAGATCGTGTATTTGTGTGCATGTTAACAAAGACCATGCTGTTAAATATATGAAGGTTACAAAGGCAACCACTCAAAACTATGAAAAAGGCAAATTCATAAGATTTTGCCCCCTTTTGTACACACAGCCTTCTGGTGCTGAGTGAATCATGAAATCCTGCTCTTTGTACAGGATGGGCAGTAGAAAATGAGCAATTCAAGTCATGCTTCAACCTCTACCCACATGGTTTTGGAGCTGCATTTCTTCACTCATGGCGAAGATGATGTAGTTTAGGGAATGCAAACTCATCTATAAAACACTTCATCCTAGCCTCGTATGAGAAATGGTGAAAATCCTGTTGCCGATAGGAAAAATCTTTAACTGTGTGTTGAAAATATGCTGCACTGTTAACGGCACCACAACTTAAAACCGTCCAAACAGATCACTTGGAAGGGGCACATGAACCTTACGGAAGTCTGGTTTGCCGTATTACTGTAGAATATTTTGCAGTAATAGATAAATCCTATATAGACAACAAAATTAAGAGGATTGTACCATTTCAACAACAGCAGAAAGTACACTTCCTCATACGGAAACTGCCTTTTCTTTCCTTCAGCCAAAGAGCACATATATTAGTTAAGAAACACAAAACACAGCCAGAACCAGCCAGCCAAATCAAAGCAGCACAGCCAATGGGGACAGAAGGTAATGTTGGATCCTGGAAGTACATGGCCCTGCTTGGGTGCTTCAGTTTCTAGAACACTATTCATAAAAACCCTGAAAGTGATCAATGCCGTCTAAGCTAAAAAAATAGACCACAAAAACCAGTCTAATTTTCCAAAGACTGTCAAATAGAAGTAAAGGATAGCGAAGAATTTCATTAGCGTGGGCATCTAAAATGAAGCAATAGCTTCCAGCCAAGATACAACACGGAATTTTAAAGGGCTAACTGCTTTGCATTGTCAGCCTGTTCATACAAGAATTGCTTATAGACTTGTAAAGCCTGCAGATGATGCTTCAGTTTTTAAACAATCAACATCTGTATGTTGTAATAATGTCATGTTTTAATAATGTAATGCTTTAACAACCAGTATGTCTCTAATATGTGTCTAATATGAATATTTAATTGTTTATTATGCCATCAATCTGAAGCCCTCATTGACAGTTAATACTGTAATATCCATTTTGTGTGGTCTGTTTTAACAATAGGTCTTAGTGTTTATTTACTGGCTTTTCAAACAATGACTTTGAAACACATGAACGCAGGTGAAGATGCAATTAACTCAGTTTCTTAAAAGTACTCACTGTTGATGCCTTCCCCTCGAGCAGTTGAACATAATCTCCTTGTATATTAAATGTATCATACTCACTGATCACAGAAGAAATGAACAGCTTACCTATAGTAGCACTTACTTACCTATAGTAGCACTTACCTATAGTAGCACTTATCTATAGCAGCACTTACCTATAGCAGCACTTATCTATAGCAGCACTTACCTATAGCAGCACTTACCTATAGTAGCACTTACCTATAGCAGCACTTACCTATAGCAGCACTTACCTATAGTAGCACTTCCCAATCTGGACTTTCCACCACCAGTCCTTAAACTGTGCATGCTCAGTGGCAAGGGCTGCCAAATCCAGAGCCTTCCAAAACAAACCCATCATCTTAACATTAATACCTTCAGTGTTTACACAAAGAAAAAGAACATAAAGTAGCTGAACGGATAATTTGTCCCTACAAGAACATGTAATCCAAAGAGCTTCTAGTAATTCAGAGAGAAAATACCTCATTAATTTGATCAGACTCCGAAGTCCTTCAGAGTACACAAAATATTTGTGTAAGCTGACACACTTGTTCCAAGCTTCCCATTCTTGCAGGGTTGTGGTAATTTACTATTGTATTGCAAGATCAAATTGGTACATGTACATTTGTTTGAAACTTAGTAATTTCATATATAGTATTACATGCACCAAGAAATTAGATAGATGGAAGCGATAGCGAGCATCTGCTGCTTCTTTCAGGTGCTGCTGAATGGCAGTAATTCTCCCAGCAAGTCTTATCTGTAGACAAATCAACACAGAATATTCTACAAGATAGCTGAGTAAATGACATGATCCACAGACAATTTAATATAATTTCTTCTGGTGAGTGTCTTCCAGATTTCTACAGTTTGTAAATCTAACTTAATTGTATTATAAGTAGATTTTGATCAGAGAGTATAAAGAAGAACTAAGGGAACACCAGAGGTCAGGAGTGGTGGCCCCACGTATATAATGTACACGTGCTGTTCTTCCTCAGGACCAAGGGTCTTGTCTCTCTTACAGCATTTAGCCCACAAAACAGCTTTTAGAAGTAGCTCAAGGGGTGCAGACAGTCAGTTATTAACTATATGTGTTCAAAAGGAAACGCATCAAGAACAGTAATGGATAGGGTAATAGTAATTCCTTCAGAGAAGTGTTTAATTTTTCATTGAATGATATAAAAGACTTCTGAATACATTTTCAAGTGCTGAAAAAGCTCGGTGCTTCTCTCCTCTTCTTGCATCGCCACGTTTCTGATAATTGATAGATTACAGATGTATTCACCATTAATCTGAACTGAGTTCCTAGCATTATTTGTCCAGCTGAAAGCACACTGATTAATGATCTTTCTCAACTGAAATTGCTGAGGTATTTTTTTGTCATTTCTATATACTGGCTGAATACCAGACAGAAGATAAATAATAAATCTGCCTTTCCTTCTTAAATAATAATACTGCAGTTGAGAACAGTACAGTCTGTTCCAGATCAGCACAGTGGCAAAGGAAGGAAATTGTCAGTACTGCTTTTGTGGTTGGTATGCAAAACTGCAGGAACAGCTCTTGCAGTGCTACCCATGCAGAAAGTCCCAGTACTGAGAATGGTGTGGAGAGCACAGAAAAAAAGAGGAACGAAAGCAAACTGAACAAACATCTCTTCAGAAATACACACTGCATTAAAAACACACCTCGTACAGTGGAGTGTGACATAACTGTTTTCATACAAGTTGCTATCAATAACCGAACACCTTGGTCTCCTTCTCGTTACACAATAAATCAAGGTGACTAAGCCGACACTTCTTTGCTTATGGATATTTATTCAAGGGGGTAGGGTGTGTTAAAAAATACAGGCAAAACTTCTGCAAGACAGTGGTTTGGGATTCTCAGCAAGGATTTCAAACACATGCAGTACAGTGTAAAAACACCTTCCTTATTTTTTTTAGAATGCTTCGAAAATTCCTCGCATTATAGGAAATCATCTGTCTGGCCCAGAGATCCTACATGTCCTTAAAGTGCAGGTCACAAGCACGTGTGGCATCTTAGCAAGTGACCCTTTTATTCTTAGTGAACTGAGTTCTTAGTAACAAACAACGTAAACTGTAATTATTAGTGGCACAAAACCCAGGCACTTTCTTCATATTGAGTATCAGAATATGTAAATATTAACTGCTATTTCCCTCTGACATTTCTGACACTTGCACTTACTGTTTCAGCCATATTTTGGATTAATAATGCATTGCAATTCAATCCTCTTAAGAAGAACTTTAAGCAATAAATTGACAGTGACTATAATCATTTGAGACTAGATTAAAGAGCTTCACACAGCAGTACATTTGGAAATGCTTCTGGTATGTGCCAACAACAAAAACATACTTTTCAAGTGTTATTAACTGGAGAGTTTAACCTCAGGCCTACACCAGTTCAGTAGTGCTGTTTATCTTGGTATTTGCAAATTATCATCCCTGATTATCACCCCTGTAAGTAAGGATTTCTCTCTATTAAACAACTCCCAATGCTTTGCTTCTGTACTCAGATGAGATGTACTACCTGCATCCTGATTTTCACAGAGTACTGACAGAAACAACTGAATGATACTTAATAAAAACTGAAAATGGAACATAGGAGTTACTCACATTTTTTACATCATTTTCGTGGTGAAAAATGTATTCGAACAATGCCTGTCAGAAGAATATTTAAAACATTGTCATGTTTGAGGATAAAAACTGATAATGCTATTTTAGAGGAATACAGAATCTTTGTTACGGTAGGCAGAAATTAATTCTTTGTGAAAGCAATCACATTCACACATCACAACTGCTGACATTTACATTAATTAAAGACCTGAATAGACAAACCTACATAGTCAATACAGGAAAGCCTTTACATTCTTAATTTGTTGCAAGAGATTAGTGGAATTGTCTCTTATCTTTGATCCTTAAAGCCACTTAAAAGAAATGCAGCAATAGTTTGAAAGTGAATATAGATTTGAAAACCTGGTACCATTTTCATGACTTTTTAACTGCAAAATCAACAAGTGATCTGGCAACAGCTTCTTGAAATGTATAGTTAGGTGCTTCTGTAATGTAAAATCTAGTTAATTAAGCACATGTTTATTAAGGATGTAAGCTGAGCAAATTTTGCCTTGGAGGGAAAAAATCTAAACCCTATGGATTTTGGGATCTGTAAATGAAAAACTTGGTTTTTATTTGTGAATGATAAATATTGCGCTTCTTAATAATACCAAATACTTTCATAATACCAAAGTTCAAAGAAGTTACATGCATCAGATGTGCCCTGGTAACTGTTCATAAGCCTAAAACAATTGCATGGCAATATAACTGTATATAGTACTACGTAATCTGTATATAATAATAATATAATCTTTGTTTACTCCCTTATAAAGCTAAAGTCATACGACCCTGTGGCTGTTCTGCACTAGATTACAGAAGGGCACATAACAGGTAATGGGGATGGCATCTGAAGTGGATAAAATGATGTCGAAAGGTACTGGATACAGAAATGCAGACTGGAAGCCTCTACTCCCAGCAGCGTAGTACAGGTGCCAGTAACACAGCGTTCAACTGAGCTGAACCTTCATCTTTATCTGCATCCAAACCCCAGGTCTTCACTGCTTCAAAAGAACAGAATGAGTTTCTAAATTCTTATTATTCATTATAAAAAAGCCTACAATAAAATAAAAATGGACTTCCATGGCTCTTCTGCCAGCTTTTCTTAGATAAAATTATTAAAATAATTACCATAAAGATACTAGAGAATGACCAATGAATTGTATGTCTGGTGAGGAAAGTCAACCACAACCCACTTTTCTTCTACTTCTGGTGAGAAAAGACTCTGAAGAGATGATTAAAACACTAAAGACTTATAAATAAAAACAACTTCATAGGGAGACTTGAACAGGCAGATAACAGAAGATAAAGAAGTAGTGAAACATGTCCTCCTCTCATTCAGTAAAAGTGAGTACATCTAAAGTGATAAAAATGATGTGTTCTTGCACGGCTGGCGTGAGGAATAGATTGCTGTTATCTATAGGCCCTGACCTTCAGAAGGATTAAATGACTGAGCATTCACTTGGATAAAAATATCCAGAGTTGTCTTAGTAACTCTACTAAAAATCCACAGGCTAAAGAAGATCAAACTTCCTGTTTGGTGCCATAAACCAGTCGCTGACTGAGATTGACCAGTGGCTCTCTCTGGCGAGAGGTGATACCCCGTATGCCTACCATGGATTTTCCTGCATAGTCCTTAACACGGCTGATGCTCGTCAGAGAGAGCCACATTGCTGCATAGTTCAAAACATCGGGAGACCGAGCCATGCAATGGAAATACAGATAATCTAACCTAAGAAAAAAGATGCAAGGAGTATACTTTGCAAACACATAAAGAAGAAGTACATAGGAGGAGTATATACCACCATGAATACCCAGGCTAGCTATGGGAATGTAATAGTTGAAAGATTTATCATCATTTTGCACCTGGGAGAGGTGACAGCTCAAAGAGTTTTAGAACTTTAATCAATGATTTTGAACACAGAGTGCAGTCTGCAGCCTCATCTCCTGCTTTGGCTTTAGCCTTAATGCTGGCTTGTTTAAAAAAAGGTTATAAATCCATGGAGCTCCAAATTTAAACTTAGATCTTACATTCTGCGTGCAACGATAATGTCACCATGTATTAGCTTCATAATACTGACAAGTACACTTGCTGCCTATGGATGTTTCCATGGCTCTTGCTTTACATTTTTTGGCTTAAGCCTCTTCTCATACAAAACCGAAGGAAGACAGAGCTACCCCACTGTCCCAGAAATGCTAATTAAAACCCAAAATTGTTAAAAATATGTATGTTTCCTGTTCCTGAGAGCTGTTGCTGAGAATAAATATTTCATGTGAAAGCCAACCTACCTACTTAAAGAGTATACAGAGTTACCAAATACAATCAAAAGCCAGCTGTCTTCAAGCATAAGAACCAAACCTAGTTCACCTAGTTCACCTGGTTTCTTATGGATGTGTCTTGTGTCCTTCCCAGATTTCTTATATTCTTCCCCGTGACGGGTTTAGAATAATGTGAGCGTTGGCTGATTGCTGGCAAGGTGTAACTGGACCAAAGGCCTGCGGTTTTTTCAGGCCTGATAAAGAACTGACTCAAAACTTCTCTCAGATGACGTTGAGTCTTTCATTACCTCACCAGACTAAAACTTACTGGATTTGGTATCTAGATTGGTTCAGAGGCCAAGGGCAGAGATGTAAGGAGCAGGTGCAGAACACAGTGCAATCACACAGAATTTATTTCCTATGAAACCACCACTGAAAAGCGATGCCCTGCATCCGTCTAGACCAGGTTTTAAAAAGCAAAGGAATTAGCTAATTGTTTATGAAAAAATATTAACTAAAGTCTTGGACCAGCAGATTATTAGGTACTGTCAGTCTTCTAACAGCGTTCACCACTACGTTTCTCAAAGTAGACTGGATATATACAGGTTCTTTGAACTTTATGTTGAATATATAAAAATATAATGGATTACAATATATATAATTACATATAATAACATACAACATATAATATATATCATATATCATATTTATTTATATAAATATTTAAATACAGCTCCCAAGAGTGTGTCTGATAGCTTTTGATACCTTGTGCAAAACGAGCTGTTGGTCTCAGCCCAGCAGTTGTTTTTTTGTGAACAAAGTACGCACAGAAAAGAAGGAAATCTCAATCTGCACAACTAACTGGATGTGTAGGGGTAAGATTCAACTGAAAGTGATAAATCATTACACAACCTTTAGGTCCCCTCCACTCAGAACTGAAACCCGTAAGCTGGGCAAGTACCCTGGATAAACGTGTTCTACTGGCAGACAGTCTCAGTTTCAGAGCCTGTCAATCTGAACGTCTTAACTGAAAATGAAGAAGAATCCTCAACAAAAAGTTGAAATACTTGTATATAAAAAGTGTTAACTCTCGCCATAAAATCAAAGGGAAAAATACAAAATATTTGGACATTTTTAGGCCAGTTTAGCCATCTATTTGTACACTGAACCACATTTCCATGCACTAGGGATGCTTTTGCTGATTTTTTACCTCCTGGCTGTTTTATTTTAGTTGCCCTTCATCACTGCTATATGCACAATTCAAATTTATTAACCAGTGGAACATTTTACTCTATACAGATGTTTTTCCTAGGCTATACTTTCAACATAACCCCTTCAGACACCTTTTCCATTTCAACTCTGGTCACCACTATCAAAAGACAAGTAACACTATTTTTCTTAACTTTACACCTACAACATAGTTCATCGTTGTTTGTATCCCCAATCCCATGTACAGTTACATTAGAATGATGCCAGAAAATAAGAAAAATATATCACAACGTTAACCAAAATAGTTACATACCTTTGCCAGTTTGGGTTTTTGAGCATATTTTGCTAAATTCAATCGAGACAGATTTATAAAAGGGCCATCTGGATTTGTGAGCATTGAAGCCTGAAGGGGAGAAATAAGTTTTTAAGTGGGAAGATCTCCATCACTTTTTCTGAAAATTTTTGAAATATTAGTAGTATACAAAAAATAACGCCAACCTAACCAAAAAATCAATTGTAGATGCACTGTTCTACTGTGCAGTACAGACTCTTCCTACTGAATTTCATCTGTTCTGAAAGCCAGGAGTTTGTCCCACTCCCACACAGCCCCTGAAGGAGGTGGTGTGAATTACCTTCTGGAATAACCTTTCTCTTCCCTTTCTCCCCTATTTCCACAATGTGCCTAAGCACGTAGCTTGGACTCACTGTTAGAGAGACTGAAGGTACTTGGGATGCTGAGGGAGCTGGGGCTCTTGAGCTTGGAGCAGAGGAGACTGAGGGGTGCCCTCATTCCTGGGGATCCATTGGCAAAGGGCAGTGTCAGGAGGAAGGAGCCAGGCTCTGCTCTGGGATGGCCAATGCCAGGACAAGGGGCAATGGTCCCAAGCTGGAGCACAGGAGGCTCAAGCTGAAGAGGAGGAAAAGCTTTGTGAGTGTGAGGGTTCTGGAGCATGGCCCAGGCTGCCCAGAGAGGTTGTGGAGTCTCCTTGTGTGGAGACACCCAAAGCCCTGGCCGTGTTCCTGTGTGACTGCTCTGGTGATCCTGCTCTGGCAGGGGTTGCACTGGGGGAGCTTTCCAGGGCCCTTCCAGCTCCTCATATTCTGTGATTTTGTGATTCTGTGATGCAGAACAAAAACATCTTCAAGAAAGATTTAGGAAGATCAGTTCATGCCTGCAATGGTTTTGCCATTAATGTGATGTTACTCTGTATTACCTATTTGTGCCAATTGCAGTTTATGAATTTTGCCAGTAGAACAGGATAAAACTAGTACGGTTTATTTTTCTTATCTTCTGAAGTGACAGACACTGAAAATCAGTAATTGTGTTGTGGTAAAACCTGGAGAAAGTTTCAAATACATAAATGAAATGTGAATGAAATCACATCACAGTCTCCTCATGGCCTGCAGTGAATAGAAGTGAGTCTCACAGAAATGGTGAATTTGAAATTTATGTGAATTGTTGTGAACTTGCGAGTTTATGTACATGTTTTTATACAAACAGACACCAAACTAACAAGAAGTAACATTTTCAAGCTTTAGAAATGCTCTCCTCCTTCAAAGTTCAGCTTAGATGTAGCTTTTAATTCAACTACGAAGTCACTGCTCCAGATACTGTGACCAAGAAAGCCATGGCTGTGAGAAGAGTCAACCAACTCACCGTTCCCAGCCGGCCGTACCTCCCAGAGGCACTAGTGATGGGACGAGCCGTGAGGGACGTTCGAGGTGTTTTTATGGCCTGTTCCACTGTACTTGGCCGTCCGCTTTGCGTGCTGGGTCTCACAAATCCTGTAATAGGTCTTCCCGATTGAGTTACTGGCCTGAAGATGTTAAGCACATTATCCTTACGTGGAGTTGTTATCAATAGAGAATGTAAACATTTATATCTGAAGCATTTAATTTTCAGAAGTTAAATTTGGGATTTGCTCGTTTGTTGCTAGTCACACTTTATAAAATAAACCATCACCTACCTAACAGCTGGGCTGGGGCCCACACCTTGGCTCGTTCCAGGGAGTTTCAAAGATGTTCCTGGTCCTATAAAATAAGAGCATAGCTCACTTCACGTTGAGATACTACACCCGTGTAGAGGGGACTTAAATAAATTACTGCTTTACAATAAACTGGAAATTTCTTTGGTTAAACTGAGGGGACATAGCACTAGACAAAACCAAATACTGCACTGTAGTACTGATAAATGGTCAGATTATTGCAAGAAACCTGCCACAACAAACATGGTTTCCCCACTTTTACCCTTCCCATCTTCTCCCCCATCACAAAGTGAGCAGCAGCCTGCAAGGGTTAACCCACACCAATTCTCAAGAACATCTTAGGACCAAGAGATAGCACTGAAGCAAGAGAAGTCACTGCAGAATGCTTACAGGGTTTGGTTCCCTTGATGTCCCCCCAGCCAACCCAGTCCTTACTTGGAGAATCCCAACTGAACACAGGCATCAAGAGGCCACAGCAGAGCACGTGGCCACTAACAGCGACAGAAATTAAGAGCCTAATTCCAGCAGTTAGTGATGACTCCTTTAACTCCCCAGTTAATGGAATAGCTGTGATTATCCATAATGCCAATTAGCGCGAGTTTGTGACAAATATGTTGTCAAGGTAACACTTTTAAACAAGATTACAACTTTAGCTGATGAAATTGATGGTGTTAAAGAGCCCAAAAGTAACAACGCAAAAATTAAAATATGTATTTCAGAATAAGAAGATTGTTTAGCTTATCAAATAAAAGATCACTGGATGACTTAATGGCACTTTTAACCATTGACTTTGGAAAGATACCTTTGAAAATAAAGACTTCTTATCAGGCATAAAACGTGCAAAAAGAAAGAACAGCCGGAGCTGATAATTCCCACTAAAGATAAGGCATACACTGATAAAAGCTGGCAAATTTAATAGTTTACTGAAGACTTCAGAGGGTTCTTTCTCTCTGGAAAGTTCTTACACTTTCTGAAAAACTACATATTAGCTCAGGCAAATCTAGTGCATCTGAAGCACAAATAGCCAAGTCTTATCTCAGTGATTCAGGAGTGCAGTCCAGAGTATTATAACGATTTTCTATGGCTTTGAAATCTGTGTCACACTATCCAGAAAGTCACCTTTTCCCAGTTTAAATATAGTATGATTGCATTTTTCCAGAATGCCTTATTTCTCAATAATCCTCAGCAAATGATTTTTCTTGGCAGATGGTCTCTACCACAGGGGGCACAAAATCAAATAACAGGCTAAATTATATTATCATGCTGTTTTAAGATAGATACATTTAATTATATTATCGTAACGTATAAACACAACTCGAATACTGCTTGACTCTTTCTATGTGACCAAGCATGTAATGACAATTTTAAAGAAGTGTAAGCAGACAGATATGCAATTGCCTACTTCTGTCCACATGAGAAAAGCTTTCAATGGGTCAAGTATCAGTTCTGGTCTACGTCCAGTTCTGCCCTTGAATTCTTTGACATGGTAGGTGGTTGAGAACCACTTCTAGTAAGATGCATAAAATTCCCATGTGGACTGTACTAAGGAAACAGAAAAATAGAAATGATGCTAGAAAGTAGTGGAAGACTTCTAGTGACTGCCCACTTAGAGAGGAACCAGTGATGCTGAAAAGAGCAGTGCACATGACATTGTGATAGGGCTGAAGAACTGCCCTGAGAAGGAAGAGAGGAAAAAGCAGAGAAAAGCACAAGAGAGAAAATCAGAAAAAGAAGAAAGGCTGAAGAAGCCAGAAAGGAGTAAAAGAAATCAATGTGCTGATTGGAAAGAGCAGGTGAGCGCAGAGATGCAGAGGAAAAGCTGACAAAATGCTTTTTTATTTCTCCGAACACCCTCTGAGAGGCCTAAGCACCACCTCAAGATCAGGTGGTGCATCTCAACATTGCCATGCAACCATACACCAATCCAAAACTCCTCTTGCAGCAATAGCTAAAAGCCAGATCTCGTCACCTCAGTATGTATTATTTTATGCTACGTGACAATTCTGACCAGAAGAGCTCCTGTTGCTTCAATGTATTTGAGTGAAAGTCGTTCTTACGTGCAACTTGAGCAATGGCATTTTCATCCAGCATCATCTCTGCGATTCCCTCTTCATCCATATCGATTTCATCCACGTACACCATTTCTGTCAAGGCTCGTGTCTTCAGGCTCCAGGCAGCCTGAACAGGGATAAAATAAAAAGATCTTCAGGACACCAAGTACATAATCTATTCAGCAATTTTGCCATGTTTTAATTATTATTTTCTTTACAGTTTTGATTGGCTTGAATAAAGGATTGACCTAAACAGCTGGGTATATCCATCAGTTGCCTGATGGAGGTGGAAAGGGTACCAAGACTTTAGACAGCTCTTCTGCAGTGGAACAGCTACAGTCACTGAGTTTGGAGGCCGGGATCTCCTGCCTCTCAGCAGCTATTACTAATTTAGGTCACAGGCACTCTATGGGATCTTGTGGATCCTTCTTTGCAGGAATCCTCAGCTACCAATGCCATTCAAATCCCAAACTGGGACAGGAGAGGAAGGTAAGTAAACCACTGTGATGTAAAGTAATGCCCTTCACAAGCATCTGTAGAGAAAGAAGGAAACTCTTTTACCCAGCAGTTAGAGATGCAGTAGATTACTCTGACGGTTTTAGTGAAGACAATCTAAAACTCCTTTGTTCAAAGCACCAGCTGTAAAAGATGTGTAAATGTATAGATTGAGCATCTTGGATTGGGGAGCACTGGAGTACTTGTTAGAGAACTGAACTGACAAATTACTACATTAAATGTCTTGGAGGATTATGCAGGCAGTGGAAAGGCAAGCACCATTCCAGCCACTGTGACAAGCTCTGTGTAGACTGTGGAGACACCAAATCAATGGGGAAAAGAAAAACCCATGGCACAAGTACCTACAAAATAAGGGCAGATCCAACCACTCTGATAACTCAATATGCCTATAATGTACTCCTAGAGCTGACATGATAAAGGGAGCCACAAGACCTGATCTTCCTTCATACATTGAATAGATTTTCCCGAGTAAAAACACGGCCAAAACAATTTGTTCCTTTCCTGACAGTCTGGTGGAAAAGCATCTGTAATATTTGCTATGGAAACATTTCAAAATAGAAACAGACCGATGCTACTTGAATGGAACGAAAGGTCAAACACATGGAAACATTTGTTCTTTAAGTAAGAGGTAGATCAGGAGCTTAGGCTTATTTAATAATTTAAGTAATCATTTAATGGGACACTTCTCATTCACCCTGCCTCAGACCACCCCTTCCTCTGCACTTCTCTCATATTTCTATGCAATTTTATAGCTGCCTATCAGGAAAGTCTATCTAATATTTAAGTCTCCTTTTGAAAAGTGCTTTCTTCCAAGCAGAAGCCAAGGAGGGATTTAGCCAGCCAGTTCAACCACAATTAGACACCTTTGTTCAAGTATGGAGAGAAAGGAGCAGGGCAGGATGATGTGAATCTAGGCCAGACAGGCATAATCCAGATCTGCTTTGTTATCTGGTAGTTTCTTCTTATGGAGTAGGGTGACAGCCTTTAATTACCATCGAGGTTTGCAGCTGGGTGTTCAACGCCCTTCGTGGTTTTTCATTATCCTATGGAAGCATTTAGTTTGCTGAATGTTTAACACCTTGACGGCACTCTGCTTTGTTCAAACACGATTATCTCTGAACTCTGCATAACCCTGTTCGCATTGGGAATATGCTGAAATGAGATCTCTCAGTACAGCCAAACACAGGCTAATTTCCTAGTAGAGATAAGAAAAGCTGCCCGTAGTAATGGTCTTTTTCCTGGGAATTGAAAGTAGCAACTTCTCTACACTAATTGCTGAAACTGGGGCCGGTTCTCAACACAGATACAAGTACAGAATTGTGATTTGACCAATCAAAACAAGAGAGAATGTGTTTTTATAATCAACGTTTGTCTTTGTCATTATTGTATAAATATCTGTCATGCAAAAATAGACTCCTTAGGCTGCTCTTTCTTACGCTCCAAGCCTGAGACTTCACAGCCAACAAAAATCTCAAATACCACATATTATTCTTTAATTAAACACCAGTCTGTAGATCGGAGCATTGCCTGCAGCAGTGGTTGTTACAGGACTTCTGATCAAAATAGTAAGAGAGAGAAAAATGCCAAATTCACTAATTAAACTACAGAAAGATGACCTTTACCTTGGGAGACAAGGACACAACTCAAAATCCCTACCTACCAGCCACAAGAGCCAGATGAAACATAAGTCTAATTTCTACGTATGCAGAGTTATGCTGAATGTCTGCAAAGTGGAGGTATGGGAAAAGGAATATAAATGTATAGTGACAAACAAATGCAAGGGAGATATAGGGAGAAGGTCTTTTTTCAAAAGGATTAAATGACATTTCTGACACTCCTTTTATTAATAAAAAATGTGTGACTTATTCCTAAAATGTCACATAGGACTTTATTAGGACTATGGCATATGGCTGTTGTCTTACTTTTTAAAAGAAAATCTGGGTCACGGTAAAACAGACCTTCCCCAGCAAAATGTTGTTGTTCATAAAGTAAAGGTGTCTTTTACCATGAGACATAAAAGTCACGCAAGGGTCAAAGATTTTCCTAACGACTCAGTGCTTTCAACTTCTGCTGGCTTTCTGTACAGAATCTGTACCAGTAGCCCGGGTATTTCCTGCAGCTACTTTATCCTTGCATGAAGCTGCTTTCTGTGTTGCAGTTTTTAGTTATCCAGAAAAAAATGAACACTTCCGTTCACAAGAAAGCACGCAGGTTTAGTAATTCATCATAGTGCAATGCACAGATTTTTCACTCGCTGAAAACCTGTAAGGGTTTGATCTGAAACTAATGCAGAACTTCAGCTGAAAAACTTCACTTAAAATGAACAGAAGCAGCGCAAAACTGGAGGAGCCACACTGCCAACAGCCAGAGAAAGGCTCCCTTATAATCACAAGACTCCCTAAAAATAAATGCATGCATTTCTAAGTATCCATATAACAATGTTATTTACACCTTGACCTAGCACAGGTTTCTCCACTCAAATTGCTGCCTCAGATTCCATTTATGTTATCTGGTCTCTCTTCGTGGGATCGATCATTTTGTTTTGTGACAAGCAACGTGTCTGGCACTGGTGAAGAAGATTTGTACATTTGTGAGATGGGCACTTAAACAGCAGGGACAAGAAAGGGACAGTTCATTTCAGACAACCCACACATACATGACATCTTAACAGATTCAGCTTGCTTAACTCACAGTCAGAATTTTACAATAACTAACAGTAACTAAAGAGGCAACCAATATCTTAAGTACTGCAAGTACAGAAATGTGATATAGTATCTCATAAGAAGCCTAAAATTCCAGAAAGAAAAGTGACAAAGTGTTTTCCACTGAGTTCCTGAGAACTGGTTTGTCAGTGAATCGAGTACATTCCTCTTGTTCCTGAAAAGTCCAAACACCAGGTTAAAAAAGATTAAATCCAAATGTATTTTCTGAATCCAGTAACACACATTTCTCAGAGGTTTCGTTCTCCAATAACCCTTTCCATTATCACAAATGTTCTCCCATACACAATGAAAACCCCACCTTGTGAAGCGCAATCTTTCCAGTCAAGAAGAAATCTGGCAGTATTTCACCCAAACCACCTTGTATACAAACAATCTGCACGACTTCATTGGAATGTAACTGGGGACTTGTAAAACAGGTTATTGAGCTGTATATAAAGATGCAATTTCACATTGCATTTAATCTCTTCTGACTGTGGACTGCAGCCAACAGATGCCACCACCTGCACATTCAAATCCTTCCCATTGCAGTAACCTGGAGCTGATGTGGACACAGTGAAAACGAATCCATTACTCCCAGTCTTCCATTGCTTACTCAAAGCATCACCACGCAGCTTCAAGACATCCAGGCTCTACACGAGGTAGGCAGTGGGAATGAGCTGGAGGAGCAGGAAGGGCACGAACAGCAGCCCAGCACTACAGCACATTAAATGAAATATGAAAGTGAGCCCTGAGAGCATAAACATGTTTTGTCTGTGAAATACACGTTGGCTTCTTCCTAATTTCACCAGTAGATGAAGGTCATTCAGTTCAGGATAGATTCAATTTAGCTTTTAGAAGGCACTAAGCTACTGAGAATATAGAGATATATAAGAGAAATAAACTTATATCAAATATAAAAGCTGACCATTTAAAACACCCTTTATCAAACGTACTGCCTTGCCAACGATGAAAAGCAAATTTATGCCATTAAGGATTCAACAACAAAACAAGTTTTATTCAGTGCATCAGAAATTCTTCCTAATGAACGTATCTAATAATTGTATTTATGAGAAGAATTTTACCTGAAACACAGAGTATTCAGAATCAGGATCCTGCAAAGAGAGGAAACAGAAATTGAGGAATGGAAATGCCAAGGGGTAAAAAGAACAATGAAAATCTGGAATTTTGCTCTGCGACCACCTCATTTTGCACAAACAATGAATTCCCATTTCATTCCATTATCTCAACTTACATTACGGAGCTAATCAATGATTTCATTTACACTTGGAAGACGTAAGCGACCTCTCACAAGTTAACCAGACTGTTAGGCCGTGGGCTTTATAATGCCTAAGGAACAGAACCCTTCTCTGTTCATTGTTAGCTGCTGAGGGTGGTCACACTGGTAACACAGAAGCACATACATGAAAAATTCTGCCCTTACTGAATTTTTTGGTGTAATTTTATGATGAAAATGATGTATTTATTGTATTCTGGACAGTAATGCTCTAAGTGGAATCAATTACGAGCTAATGGCTTATTGCACCATCCAATCAACAGAAGGAAAACTACCAGGTGAAGTTTACTACAAGCCGAAAACCAGGAGCTTGCATGTGCTTTAAAACTTGAGGTAAAAGTGATTAAATATTAACAGTAAATGTAGGGTTGTCATCATTTACTGTGTAATTATCATGCTTATATCATATTTAAACCAGCCTGCAGGTCTGCTGCTGCTCACTTTCAAGGACTGCAGAGGAATTTTTCCTCTCGAATGTATTGCTTAGCTTGGGGGAAAAGAAAAGGAAGGTGGGAGATAGATGTTACTTTCTCTAAGTCACTCTTAGTCTTGTAGAGTCAGATCATTTCTGCTCCTAGAGGCACTGGGAAATGTCTTACATATCTGGTCTTGTGT